ATACTTATACGTCAAAGAAATACTTGTCTTTTTTTCACATTTAGGTCGAAAAAAAGTACATTTCGGGCTTGAAACCAAATCCATTGAGGTCTGTTCAACTCATTTTTCTATCTTTTGTATTGAGAGGGAGGGCTTTTCAACTTTTTGGATTGTCTTTTGAGTTTGAAAATTGTCTTCTCTCCTCAAACCTCTCGTCGACCAATCAGAAAGCTTCATTTAAGTTACGGACCTGGGATTACGGATCGGAATAAAATAAAACCATTAACTATAAGGAAACGTCTGAAGGTATAAGTTCAGGAATTTCATCTCTTTTTCCTTGTGTTAAGAAGAAATTGTACTGAGTTTCGTAATTTTCTTTACACCTTTTGCTAGAGCTTCGTGAAGATAATGCTCTTTCCAATCTTTCGAGTACAAGTAGTTAACACGCGGAGTTTGATTGCAGTGTTCTACAAGGCCAGGACTGAATATGTTTTTGGTACCTGTCTTTTGAGAAGATGCAGATTCTAGACTCATTTACTTTTTAATTGTACAAACACTTTAAAAACAACTGTAAAAACGTAACTGATCTTTTAAAGACGTGGGAGGTAGGCCGGTCAGATATTTTCCACAACGACAAGCTAAAAAAAATTTTTTGTCTTACCAAATTACCGTTTGTTTTCATCACTAGTGTTCAGCCTCCTGTTCCACATCCAGGAATCTCTGTCATGTGACAATAAACTGGATATTTTTGTGAGGAGGCCTTAGATTGCAGGTGGTAGATACCGTTTTGTAAAGACCTGTAAAATAATGTTTGTTTCGTTACATTTCTTTCGCTTTTCTCGAGGTTTAGAGATTTTGGTGCCGAAATGGTGGTGGCAGAATCTATAAATCACAGGTTTTGCATTTGCCAACTTGGCAAGGAAACGTGCCATTCGGTGACGACGAATCCTGTGATAGGGAGCTATGAACTATAGGATTTCACGGATATTTTGGCTGTGAGGAAAAGAGACTAAACGGGGTTATCGGAGAAAATGGAAGATGTTTCGGGGTCGTTTTTCAAAATATGGACATTCTTCCTGATGGCATCTCTAAAAGTATAAAGACAGCTAGATTTTAGGGGTTTTTTCTTGTTCAAACGTCACATGCACTTCAAGGAACCATGTGACGTACAAACTATGATATCTATCCATCTATCTATATCCGACTATGTCTAACGGTTGCGCTATACCTTTAAATCGAAGTTATATTTGAAAATTATTAGGTATTTCGTACGGCTTTTATGCTCCGAAATTTGAGTGCGTATTCATATTACGCCATAATTTTATTTTTACATTTTACATCGAAAACTGGCAGAATTTAATTTCTTCAACTCTCGAAAACGTACAATTATTTTCTACGTGCAATTAATTTTTAAATGTTACGAAGGACTGAAGATCATGTAAAAAATATTCAGCGCGTGCGTCCGGCTGTTTTTTATGCTGCATGAAATTTTTGTATTTTTTTATTAAATAAGAATTGATTATTGTTCTCATTTCATCACAAAGCACCGCGATCCACGTTTTCGTGACATCGAACGGTGTAGTCAACCCAACCAGTAACTTCTATTTTGGCAACCGCTTTTGCAATTGATTGTTATTTTATACTGTTCCGATTTTCTACAAGCATATTTACGGTAAATATTGTAACGTTTAAGTTCGTGAGAACGTGGCGGAAATTCGTGGCAATTTAGATGAAAATGTACTAGCATTCGAAAATGTTATTTCATACGATTATGCGTGATTTCGCAGAATGTGTGATTCGTAAAAAATAATTATATAAGGAAAATTCGCCCACCTGCACGGAATTTTTTGCGACTACTGATGATAAACGGGCACGCTGCATGCAGCCTAAATTCGGAATATGTGCTAAACGGCAAACCACAAACGGCTATAATAATTAGGAACCGCGTTATTGTTGAGTTGACATAAGCCTTGATCCAGCCCGCTAACTTTGTAATTTACTGACAAACATCCCTTGTGTATTGTACACAACACCGAACACTCCGATTCACATTCTGCATATTTTGTTGTGATCACACTATCTGGTAAATACTGGCCCACTTTTCTGTGAAAGAAAGTCTGTTTCACGCCAAGTCCACTTCTGATGAATACAAACACGAACTGCAGGAAACAGGAAACATTGTTTGCAGTATTTTCCAAAATGAGTGCATGTATCATCTCAGTTTAACACAATATGGGAAACTGAACGGTATTAAAACAGCGCTTCATTAAAGAAAACGTATAATCACATATTTACCTCACAACATGTGTGTCAGTTTTTTTTGTTATTAAAATCTGATGCAAATACAGCGTGATTATAGTTCGTTTGATTATTTTATGTATTTCATATGTGTAAATCAAACAGCTTCTGTGCTTTAAGAACTGTCAGAATTTTTCAGCGGATATAGATGCTGCCTAGCACGGTGAGGCAGCACACTACTCTTGACATTGATAACGTTTCTCCAGAGTTCACTTGGCCCAATCTTTCATATACAGTGGTCGTATTACAGAGCATAGCTGGAACCCTGCTTTTGGCTATTCTAAGACTTCCAAACCTTGCAGTGCGTTATTGGGCGCAAATATACGAATACATAATTGTTGCATGATTTTAATTTATCCAGACCATACGATAGGTTTTATATAAAATTTTAACACCAGACAGTAATATTACCTCATGAATGTTATATTTACAAGTATTAAGATTATATACTATCAATATATCTACTATTTATAAATAAACTTTCGTTGGTAGGGATGCAACTGTCTAAATGGAGAATTTCGACGTTTGGAGTTACTAATACGGGACACTAGTAGTGTGACCAGATTTGGGTAAAGTTTCGTAAATTTTCGCGAATTTTCAAGAAAATTTGGTAATAAGATTTTTTGGTAAAATTTTGGTAAAATCTGAAATTAATAATCATTTTGGTAAAAATATATTTCGCTTGTTTAATAACGTGCTCAAAGTGATGAACAGAACTGGCAAACCTAAGAAATAAAGTCTTATCATTAGCAAAAACTGCAATACGATGAAAGCAATAAGTATTTCGAGATACTTTTTGCACATATTTTTTCTACTTTGATGACACAACTATGACGTAATTATTTGGAAGATGACATTTGGTAATGTTTTTCTTAATTTAGTAAAATTTGAACACAATTTTTGTAATGACTGCTGAAAAAATCTGGTCACACTGGACACTACAGACACTACCTACACTGGCAAACACTATTTAAGAATGTACTTATTGTTCTCTCACACTGCTCATAACGTCTAAGCTTACGATCGAACATCCAAATGGATCAGTTAATCAGTTTTGTCTATTTTATATTGTCTATTTTATACAATATATTAACATTTTATGTGGCAAAAAATATGTTTAGCATGCTTGGAGCGTACTGTCAATTTGCCATTGTAACAATGTACAATTCTCTGAATCCACTTATTTTGCACATTACTCACAACTATTGAACCAAAATATATCCAAATGCCGCAGTCAGTTTATGGCCGTTATCGTTATTACTACAAAGCGCAATATTACCGCATGTTATTTGTGGGGTTTGTTGGCAAGTATCGAAAAATATGCCAAACCCAATACATGAATCGGATCTATCACAATTTTCGTGGTTGTTGGCCATGTACCCAAGACGTATTGTAATTCTTTTCGAGTAAAAAATACCGAAACCTTCTTCATTGCAGTATAGCTGTAGAGAAGAGCCCGCGATCAAATACTTCCATGCTACTCGTCCAGCGGTTGTTTTTCGATATTCTCCGTCTGCGATCACATTGTACAGCGAACTTGCTTCGTAATCTAACATCATCCATTTTCTGTCACCATTAACGGTCATACCAAGACATAGTTTTTTGAAAGGAGTGTTCCAATAAGAGGCCAGTTTACTTTCTTTCTCTGTTAATCCTTCAAGTCCATCTTCAACTGCATAACTTTCCTTGTTCGTCCACAATGGGGAATCATATGTAAATGTACTCTGTGTAATTAAGAAATAGAGAACAAGTTAAGTTTACCAAGAGCGAAGACGGAATGGGAAAACATCAAGTTTGACCATCAAGCAGTCTCTGATTTAATGATCCAAATCATAGTTAATATTAACTCTCTATTAACTCTCTATTAACTCTCTATTAACTATGTCCAAATAAAGAAGTCAGAGTAGTCGAATATTGTTTCGGTTTAAAAGCTCATCTTTTGAAGACGTGGAAACTAGGTGACTCAGACATTTTCTACAACGACAAACCAAAACATTTTTTGCCTTACCAGATCACCGTTTGTTTTCATCACTAGTGTCCAGCCTCCTGGTCCACACCCGGGAATCTCAGTCATGTGACAATAAACTGGATATTTCTGTGAGGAACCCTTGGATTGCAGTTGGTAGATACCGCTTTGTAAAGAGCTGTAAAATAGTGTTGGTTTCGTTACATTTCTTCGCTGTTCTCGAGGCCGTTTCTTAGAGAGGTTCAGATTTAGCTTCCGGCACTGCTATTACTACTTTTCACTGGTTCAGTACGCATCTGATTGGTTAATCGGGTAGATTAAACGCATCTCATTAGTTAATGGTAGTCGGTTGTGGTAGGGAAAGTCAAATTTGAACCTGAAATTAAATCTGAAACAACTATTGGTGCTTCATATTTCATAATCAAGGTTTAGGCATTATTGCAAATAAATAAGAATTTACCCATCATTGTCAAATAATTCTTTGCAGCTTGATTTGCTGGCAATTTCTTGCGGTTTTGTTTTACTTTGACTCTAAATGGTAAACAAGTATTTCAATTTAGAAATGTCACATATTATTTCACAAAAACAAGTAGAGTCGTGTAATTTTAATAATTGATTTCACATGCACGTACAGATTCGTTAATAATATGGGATGGGAGGGGATGATTTTACAACCCGTCCATTACGAAATTTTAAGATGACTTATGTCTCAATCAATTCCATGGGTGCCCAACCCCTCCCTGGGCGTTTGTCGGGCATTTGTCATTTTGGCGAAACACCGTTGCAAATGCCCCACTATGGGTGCAAATAATGCTACAAAATCCCCACCCTTGGGGACTTACATTGACGCAAATGCCCCACCCTTGGGGACAAAATATAAGTTTTTTCTGAGGATTTCTGATCCAAAAAATCGAATGGAAGCTCTATCACGTATCAATATATCTGTATTTAAAATAGATTCTGTAGCCATTTCGTTTCAAAACGTTTTTAATTAAAATATTGAAATCTCAAAACTTTATACAGCAATATCAAACTGCGGAAGTAAGTCAATGTATCAACAGGATGGACAAGAAAAACGTCATTGTGTGTATGTTCGACATGATTAATTTGCAATACGCACGCACGTGTAAACATGCATACTAAAGTACAGCTAAATGGCGAAACAAGCCATAAATATTCGACTTTTTAGCCTTGAGCAAATGTCCCACCCCGGGGCTAACCTGCAGAAAGCAAATGCCCGACCCTTTATGGGAACAAGTACAGTTGAGAATGCCCGACAAACGCCCCGGGGGGGGGGGGGTGTTGGCCAACCATGGAATTGAATGAGACATTAAGAAACGTGAAAAAAGATGTAGTTTATCCTTATGCTATTATTATAATTATATAATTATATATCAGGCGATTGTTGATATCACTTAATGTTTCGCCGTATAATATACTACTTTCGAAACATATGTCATTGCTTATGTACTGTAGCTTAATTTCTGATCATTAATATGTATAATGATTTAATAATGGTAAAATAGAACTTAAAATGAACACGAACTTATCACTTTAAAACACATATCTATACGACAGCCGACAGGGGACGGCCAATTCCCGCCAATTCGCAATCCGTTTGCCACTTTGTCGCCACAACACCAAGTGGGTGGTGGCGTGGGTATTAATGCCGACAAAAAGTTAACTCGCTCTTTGCGCCAAATAGAAATAAAAATTCAATGATTGGCCCTCCTATAATACAAATTTGCAAATATCTAAAAAATATTTAATTGATGATTCATCATTATCGCTCTTCCACTTTTGAAACAAAACACTGTATTATTGCTTGAGCAGTTACCCTGTCATAAATATGTTCAACTGATAGTAAAGTACTATAATGCAGTACAAGAGTCTAAGGTACTCTGAAGAAAAACTGTATTTCTTGTTAAAGTAGGTCGACACTTTTACACTCTATGAATGATCAATGCATACTTTCCTCAAAGAATTAGGTAATAAGGTAAATAAGCCTATAAGGACAGTTGCAAGACATAAGTATAAAGACTGTTAGATTTTAGTGTGTTTTTTTCGTTCAAACGTCACATTCCAAGGGACTGCGTGACTAAACTATTTACTCTCGAAAACGTACACCTGCATGCATGCATGCTATTTCTTGTTCGTGCAATTCTTTTAAAAAAGTTACGAAACACCGAAGGCCGTGCAAAAATTTCCGGTTTATCACCAGCGCCGGCATCTTGTATTCGTGCCGCATGGAATTTTTGTAGATTTTTTATTAAATAAAAATTGTTGCAGTTTTTCATCACAAAACACGGGACAAACCCACCTTTTCTTGACATCGAACGGTATAGTCAATCCAACCAGCAACTTTTATTTTGTCAACAACTTTTGCAATTGATTGTTATTTTTTCCTGTTTCGATTTTCTACGATCACGTTTACGATAAATATTACGTTTAAGTTCGTGACAATTTGGCAGAAATTTGTGGCGTATTTCATACGATTGTACCGCGTGATTTGAACTTATTCTTCCGTGCAGCTATATATATTATTTAAATGTGAATATGTGATTTGGTAAAAATTAAAGAAAATCCGCGGGGTTTTTTGCTACTACTGATGATAAGCGAGGACACTGTACATAGCCTGAATCCGGAATATGTGCTATAAACGGCAAACTTCAAACGGCTATAACAAGGAACCGCGGTTTGCCGTGTAAGTTAGAAGGAAAAATCTAAAGGCTTTTAATAAAAGGGAGAAATAACTCACCCACACTGCAATAGCAAGGTACACAAAATGATCATCAGTAACTCCAACCTTTTCTGAAATTGTGTTATTGTTCAGTTGACATAAGCCTTGATTCAGCCCGCTAACTTTATAATTTACTGACAAACATCCCTTGTGTATTGTACACAACCACGAACACTCCAATTCACATTCTGCGTATTTTGTTGTGATCACACTATCTGGTAAATACTGTCCCGCTTTTCTGTGAAAGAAAGTCTGTTTCACGCCAAGTCCACTTCTGATGAATACAAACAAGAACTGCAGGAGCACAAACAACATTTTTGTAACAGGAAACATTGTTTGCAGTATTTTCCAAAATGAGTGCATGTATCATCACAGTTTAACACAATATGAGAAACTGAACGATATTAAAACAGCGCTTCATTAAAGAGAGCGTATAATCACACATTTAGCTCACAACATGTGTGTCAGTTTTTTGTCATTAAAATCTTATGCAAATACAGCGTGATTATAGTTCGTTTGATTATATTATGTGTTTCATATGTGTAAATCAAATGGCTTCTGTGCTGTTCAGAATTTTTCAACGGATGTAGGTGCTGCCTAGCACAGCGAGGCAGCACACTACTCTTGACATTCATAACGTTTCTCCAGAGTTCACTTGGCCCATTCCTTCATATACAGTGGTCGTAACATAGAACAATCACATGCACACATTCTTCAATATTACTGAGCATAGCTGGAACCCTGCTTTTGGCTATTGCCAGTAACTGGTGACGCAGGTGCACACCTCGGAAAATTAGAAAGACTTCCAAACTTTAAAATCCTAGCTATAACGCTGGGTCTCAAATCTAACGAATACACACCTGTTGCGTTTTGCGCAAATATAACGAATACACACATGACATTTTATGTGGCAAAAGTTATGTTTAACATGCTTGGAACGTAGTGTAAATTTGTCAATGTCACATTGACATTGCTCACCACTACTGAACCAAAATATATCCGAATGCTGCAGTAAGTTTATTGCCATTATCGTTATTACCACAAAGCGCAATATTACCACATGTTATTTGTGGGGTTTGTTGGCAAGCATCGAAAATATGCCAAACCCAATACATGAATCGGATCTATCACAATTTTCCCCGTTGTTGGCCATGTACGCAAGACGTATTGTAATTCTTTTCGAGTAAAAAATACCAAAACCTTCTTCATTACAGTTTGATTGTAAAGAGGAGCCCACAATCATGCAGGTTGTCCAGCGGTTGTTTTTCGATATTGTCCGTCTGCGATCAAACTGTACAGAACGAACTTGCTTCGTAATCTAACATCATCCATTTTCATTAACGGTCATACCAAGACATGTATTCTTGAAAGGAGTGTTCCAATAAGAGGCCAGTTTACTTTCTTTTTCTGTTAGTCCTTCAAGTCCATCTTCAACTGCATAACTGTCCTTGTTCGTCCTCAAGTTTGATTCATAGTTGAACGTGATCTTAAAATAACGGTGTTGTATAAGATATGATTGAAACAATGCAGAAGATAAAATAATTTAAATATCCATGAAAAAAATATTTAAATGCATAATGTAAACAATAATTTGTTTGTTTTTTTCGCAAAAAATGCAAATTATTGTTTAAATTATTGGCAATCATTATATTAGCCATTCCGAAGTTGATGTGAGGACTGGGGACCGACGAGTGTTAAATCACTAAAAAGATTACCTCAAAATTAGTAAGTATACAAAGTTTGAAGACGTTTACATGAATACCCTTAGAATAATAAGCTTTCGAAAATTGTGAAATTACTGATTAAAAGACTGTTTTGGGGATGTGCGTCCCCAAAAACAAAATTTACAGTACCTTTCATAGTAAATATCGCGATTTTCGAAAGCTTATTATTCGAAGGGTATTCTTAATTTCGTAATTTGGACAATTTTTAACACTCGTCCCCAGTCCTCTCATCAAGTTCGGAATGGCTAATTATTGCAAAGCCTTCGCAGACATGCGCACTAACTCTATAACATGCACTTAAGCGAATTCTGAGTTTACATTTGAAACTATATGTATGTATCTTGTAAACTCCCTCCTGTCCATCTATTTTTAGTTATTATATACGATTACAAATCTTGAATCAAATCAAATGCGTATAAACACAAAATGAATAACTTACCCAAGGGCACGTTTGATGGTAGACAAAGTTGGGTTCCTCAACTCCACCCTTTTCTGAAATTGTATTATTGTTGAGTTGACATAAACCTTTGCCCACTCCGCTAATTTTGTAATTTACTGACAAACAACCCTCTAATCTTGTACAATATAGAGAACACTCAAATTTCGTTTTGATCACATTGTCTGGTAAATACTGCGCTTTTTGTCTCTGAAAGAAAGCTTGTTTTAAAGTATGTCCAAATTGAAAGCAAACAAGTACTGATTGAATAAATATCAGTTGACAAGCAGGCGCCATTCTTATTGACAGCAGTATTACTAGTAACTGACATTAAACTGACAGCCTTTGGGCATCTACCTAGGCCTCCTCCGTAGGCCATACAGCCTACTCCAAACGGCCATATAACCCTACTCCAAACACCAACTCTAACCCCAACCCTGATCCTTACCCTAGCCCTAACCTAACCCTACTCCAAATTCGTTTCTAACCAATTTTGAGGAAAAACGTTTTGACGAAATGTCAGTCTGAGGTCAGCGACTCAGCGAAATAGTTGATGCCCTGAATAACATGTCGATTACTTGGCTTATATATAGTGTCGATTACTCGGTTGGATCAAATTTCTTCAAAAATATGGCACATCGTTTGCCAATCTTTAGCAATCCCATTTTGCGAGTATTTTCTTTGTACATCTTGGCAGTTATGGCTGATAAAAGCGACGAGGAGATTAAAGTAATGGAGGGTTTTACAAGCACAAGCGACAGTGATAATAGACGTTGTGAATCTATCATTTGGCCAAATGGGATGTTATAACTATATACACACGCATTTAAATAGTTACACTGTATAAAAGACAAATATGAATGGAATAATTTTCGTGGATAAACGGCCGCATGCCTGACATACGACGTGTTACATAAAAGCGCTGCGTGTTTGTAATATGCAAATTATAAACTGATATTTATCTGCTTCTCTTTACAAATCATTATATATGATTATTTGTTCAGTGTTCAGTGTTTTTATGTATATTGCGGATAGGAAAAGCCATCTATCAAAACTTTAATAATAATATTGTTCTGGTAAAATGATATATTAAATATAATTTGGTTTGTGGCTCCCGCCATTTTGGAAAATTAATCCGCAGGCCTTTCCGTTCGTTTCCCACCAATTTTAATTTTTTTGAAAGGCCTGCGAAGGAGGTAGCTTCGGGCATTATGTAAAACTAACTATTGTTGGCTTGATTAATATAGCATGCATCACTTCATTACAATATGATATATTAAATGACACATAGTCATATATCTACCATGATTACTTACTTTTTCAATTAAAATTTCATTAAGTATGTAATATCGCCCGAAATGAAATGACTAAATTTAAAAAAAAATAAATTTTGCGGAGTGCCATTTTTGTCATATTGTATTTATTTTTTAGTTATTTGAGATAATATATTTAAAAACGTAATCCAAAATATATTAAAGCAGAAGCAATAAATTTTTAATTCATAATATAGCAATTATTGATGATATTCACCGATCTACTTTTTTATTAGTTATAAAGTGCCGTGACCCGGTTTCTTTGATAATTTTTTTTTTCACCTGCCTTGGACAATGTTACTATATTGAGAACCGAAATTAACATAACATGTTATGTATTTAGCATATTTAATTTAGTAAAATAACACGAGGTCATGGCCATAAGAATAATGGTCTGATTGAACTATACATCTATAATACTACGAATAAATACGAAATTCTACATGTTGTATTTTTATTCATAAAATTCGCATATTCTTTGACATTGAAAGCAATAAATTTATTTGTCTCCGACTTTATTTTCCTCACGGATGTGAATGAGTGATCTGGCATGATATAGATTCGATTTTTCGATGTAGCTACACATTTCTATGTCTTTTGCATGTCTTTCATTCAATCACATCTTCCAAGATGAGAAAATCGGCAAAATTCGGCACTACCAAGAAACTGCAAGAACTTCAGTTATTTGGCCTGTGAGAGAAGTGAAGCTAACATCCAAAATCTGTAATAAGGTCGCAAATATTTTTCCAGTTAATTTCACCGTATCACTACACAAGTTATCAGTTCATAAAAGCATAGTATTATTCTTTAATCGATGTGAAAATACGAAAAGTTGGCACGCTCCTTGTAGCTTCGTGTTAACTGCGCAGAGAAAAACAATAGAAAAGAGACTGAAACTGCATGACATCCAATAGCTCTATTGTATTTTGGCTTCACTTTTTGAACTCGAGTTCTCACTCCAGATGAAAAGAAGTGAGTAGACAAAGTAAAACAAACAATGAAACAAACAATTAGGCAACCATGTTTTCAAGCGAGCTTTAATTAAGAGCTTTTTAGAAATTACACTAAACTTATAACTAAGAATGTGACTTTTTTTTCCCTGTGTTGGTGTAGTGTACTCAGGTGAATATGATATTTGTGGTGTTACTCTGAGTGTATATCCATACCGGGCGAGCTTGAAAAATATGCCCGGCCACGGTGGGATTCGAACCTACGACCTTTGGAATACTAGCCCAATGCTCTTCCAACTGAGCTACGCGGTCAGGACGGTTCGAGTTCGAATCCCACCGTGGCCGGGCATATTTTTCAAGCTCGCCCGGTGTGGATATACACTCAGAGTAACACCACAAATATCATATTCACCTGAGTACACTACACCAACACAGGAAAAATTCACATTACTAGAAAACATTGGTATCGAAGGAACTAGATTCTGTT